GGTCCTGTAAGTTATTTCACACATGAATGATCTTGCTTGTAGAAGAGATACCCAGGAATGATAAATATGTATTGTTTTCACTTAACTGAGAGAATTTTGGTATCTGATAACCAGGCTCACTTTAGTGTGGTCATCATCTTTAGAATGCTTCCGGTTGCTCATCATTTCTTTTAAAGTCTGGTGCTTAAGGAAGAGTTCTAATATTTGAGAATTATTCTGGCCTCATCTAATTAGTGAGGAATACAACTTTTGCTTCTGTTTTTCTGGGTATCAGTTTCTGATTAACGTGGATTAATATGGTATACTTTTTTAAGCAGCTCCATCCCACTGTTTCTGAAATTACTATCAACTCAAACTCCTAGGTTTTTCCTTAAATAAATGACCATTTAACCATATTCTCATTACCTTTGATTTGTGAGATCTTTATAGCCAAAAAGTCATTTATTGAAGTATCTGTGTTAAAATTTATTTTGCTGTTTCAGCTTTCAAGTGTATCCCCACATCTTCATTTTGCCATAAGTAGTTCATCTTTCTCTACCCATGTTCCCTTCCACACTTATATTGAATTTAAAATGCTATGCTTGTAGATGTTGACAGTTTTATACATTCATCGTTGTCACAGCTTGTCAAATGTGGCAACTGTTAAAGACTTATAGAAGAAAGAATAGCTCAGTGAATAAAAAAATTGGGTCAGTGGGAGAGGGCTAGAAAGGAGGAGAGAGGGGAAACATTCCAATAGCTAATAAAATTTTATCTAAGATCTCAGTTCTAGGAACAACTATTCTTCTCTTGGCCAGCTAATGTGTGCGGAACTTGCAGGCATAGTTAAGTGTATAAACACATCTGGATTTCCTGTTTATTTTGGCTGCTAGGAATTTCAGAGGCAATCTCACTGAAGTTCTATTGGGCAAAATGTCATTTATACTTTGTGTACCTTTGGTACTCTTGACATCTTTTCTGTCTTTTTTTTTTCTTTGCCTATATTTTTTAGATCATTTTGAAAAATCTTATATTGTGTACAAATTAGTGTTTTGTATTAATTATGTTTTGGAAAGAAATAGTGTATAAATCAACAGGTAGGCAAATAAAATTTTGGAATGTGTAAAAGATTTTTTAAAGAATATTGGAAACATTCACAATTTGGACTGAACAAAGCTATAGGGAAAATAATTGAAATGGAATAAAAATTTTAAGCTAACAGTTTGGCTTTATTCAAGACAAATTCTCAGTGATTCAGGGAGAGTCTCATGTAGTTCATCATATAAAATAAAATACAACCACAGAAATGGAGGTCTCAAACAAATCCTTTTGAGACCCAAGACTGTAAAGTTCATAAAGAAATAAGATAGCATGAATAGTACAGACAGAAAGAATTTTAAAAAGGACAGGGTATGTTGGTGCCTGCTTGTTATCCAGCTACTTGGGAGGCTGAGACAGGGAAATCAGAAGTTCAAGGCCAGCCTGAGAAATTTATCATGACTTTTCTGCAAAAAAACAAACAAACAAAAAAAGAAATTGGGAAGGGAGCTCAGTGGTACAGGATTTCTTAGCATATGTGAGTCTCTGGGTTTAATCTCCAGGACCATTAAGAAACAAGAAAGTGGGCATATAGGAAGATAGTGGAACAGTAAGCAACAGAGAAACTGGCCTCTGTGAGAGGATGTGGGAATATAGCATCGTGGGGAAGACAAGAAGGAAGGAAGTGGGTCCCCTCGACCTAGGAAAAATCTAAAGTGAGAATTGAAGCTCACAGAGAGAGTAAAGCAAGAAGCATTTAAACAAAGAAGAAGGTGGTAGCTGGCAGCATTTTCACCCGGAGCCAGACCCACCATGCGAGAAGGGCTATTGAAACCTGGGGACGCACAGTCACAGTGATAGTGGTGGCTGGCAAGCCTGAAGGCCTCTGCAAAGAAACATGGGGGCAGAGGGAAGCATTGGACATGGAGAACTGCACTGGCTGACGATGAGTGTAGAAGACTTAGTCCTCCTATGGGAGAGGGTGATGGAGGGCTCAGTCCTGCCACGGGAGAGGGTGATTGGCCAGGAGCCATTTTGGAATCAGGCAAGATAAGCCCAGAACCAGAAATGCAGCTGGCTTCCTTCAGCCACTCTTAGCTCAGAGCAGAATGGTGGAAATTGCTTGGACTGAGTCCTGCCACTCTGCGCATCCCAACAGCCATTGCTGAGGTTCCCTAAAGCTGTCTCCAACCAGCTCTGTCTCCTGCACATACTGTATGTAGTGGGGGCTCCTGCTGTTAACCAGCTTGGGAGGGAGGTGTCAGCCTGCCGTACCCCTGCTTGCACTCCACCAGCCGCTGGTGAGCCAAAGCAGGCTGGGAAAAGCAGCAGATAGTCCTATATCAGCATACCCATTGGTCACCATCAGATATCTCTAGCCAGCCCTGGCTAGAAAAATCAAACAGTCTCCCTTCAGAGAAATTATAGCCAACACAGGAAGTGCTGGGAACCCCACTACCCACCTGTCCAGTAGAAACCAGGAACATGAGAAGAGGAAGAAGCATAAAGCAGTCTCTCACCTCTAACCCTCTGGTCCATGAGGTGTAAACATGGATGAGATCAGGAGTTGCACACCTGAAGTTTCTGAAGTGATGGCAACTGAAGTAAAGAAACAACTTCATGAGGCTATAAAAGAAATTAGAACAGAAATATTATCTCAGGTCAAAGAAGAAATGAAAAACATAATAAAAGAACTGCTAAGCACCTCTAAAGAAGACATAGATAGAAGGATAGAGAATCATAGGAAAATGAGGGAAATCTTGAATGAAGAATATAAAAAGGAGTTAGAACACATGCAGCAGATTCAGAGAGTACCAGGAAATTAAAAACTCCATTGAAATCTGGCAAAACTGCTTGAAAGAAACTAAAGACAAACTTTCAAACCTTGAAGACAGGTTTGCAGCTTGCGATCAAGAAAGGAAAGATCTCTTAAAAATAAGAAGGAACCAGGAAGTAACGATTCAAAGACTACAAGATGACACGAAGAAGCACAATTTAAGAATAATAAATGAGAGTGAAAAAGCAGGGGTCAACAGAAATGAAATACAAAGGCTACTTACAGAAATAATTTCAGAAAACTTTCCAAGCACAGGAAATGGAAATGATATCAGATAAGTGAAGCATTTAGAACTCCAGCCAGCTACAACCAAAACAGATCTATCTACACCCAGACATACAATAATCAAGATCCTAGAAATTCAACACAAGAAAAAAAAATATTAAAAAGCTGTTAGAGAAAAGAAATAGGTCACCTATAAAGGAAAACTCATCAGAATCATGACAGACTCCTCAACACAAAACATCAAATCAAGAAGAGCTTAGGGCAAAGTATTCTAAGCCCTAAAAGGAAATAACTTCCAATCCAGGTTGATGTACCCTGAAAAAATATCTTTCAAAATTAATGGAGAAACAAGATGTTTCCTTGACAAAGAGGAACCGGAGGAGTTCAACCCTACAAAAAATACTGAAGGATATTCTAGAGAGAGGAAAAAAAAAAAGACCATGGTTTCAGGAACACTGGCAGAGGGAGCTCACTGAGTGAGGCAGACAATGGGGTGAAGGGGAAAAGTAGGCAACCAATGGCAGGAAAATAGTGTGGCAGAGATGAGGCAGAGAATGTTGGCCATATTCACTAATATAGATGGCCTCAATTCAATAAAAAGAAACATAGGCAGAGTGGATCAGGAGACAGGGTCCACCAATGTGCTTTATACAAGAAACATATTTAACCTAAAATGGGTTTATAGACTGAAAGTCAAAGATGAGAAAACAATGCTCTATTTGACAGGGAACAAGAAAAAAGTGGGGGTAGCTTGCCCATCAGCTGCAGACTGGTTAGAAAGCCATGCCACTTTTATACAATGGAAAACTATTCGGCTATAAATAAAGATAACCTTGAGGCTCTTGTGGGTAAATGGATACAACTTGAGATCATGTTCAGAGGTAAAAAGATTCAGAGTCACATATATGAATAGTGTGTTGCTTCCCTATAAAAACTAAAGGAGTTAGTGGGATCCAACTTGTACAATACATCCTGTGAAAGTGCAAGGGGAGGAATTGTCTAAAAAGGGAAGGAAGTAGCCATTGTTAATCTATTATTGTGATTTGAAACTCGTATTATTTTTATTGTCCTGTTTAGTTTGGTTTTATTCTGTTTGTGTTTGTCTAATTATATTATATTTGATGGCGTAGACAGCTATTTCAAAGTTAACAAAAATATATTATGGTAACCATTTTTTGATTTCCTATTAGCTTGATTTGAAACCTTGTATTCTTTCATTGTTGTTTTGACTGATTTTATTCTATTCTGTTTTGTTTGATTTTATCATGTCTAATGGTATAGGCAACTACTTTGATGATATTAAGATGATTATGGTACCTATTGTGATTTTACTACTATCTTCTTTTGAAGTCTTATACTGTTTACGTTGTTTTGTTTTTATTGATTTTACTCTGTACTGTTTTGTTGATTTTATTATGCCTGAGGGTATAGGCAATGCATTTGAAGATAACAAGAGGCATTATAGTAGCCATTGTAGAACTCCTTGTATTTTTGTTTTTAAGTCATGCACCATGTTCATCCTTTTGTTTTGATTGACTCTATTCTTTTTTGTTTCATTTGGTTTTCTTCTCTTCAAAATAAAAATATATTTTTAAAAAAGAAACAAGAAAGAAAAAATGGAAGGAAGGAAAAAAAGGAAAGAATAAAAGGAAGGGAAAAGAAAGCAAGAGAAAGGAAGACAAAAAAAGAGAGAGACTAGAAATTACAGAGAAAGAAAATTAGGAAAAAACTTAAAAAGTCTAAATCACTTAAGCACATCTAAATAAGTTAATGAATGAAACAATGGCAAAAACCTCAGCTACTAGTCTATCATCTGTGGAACGGTTGTTCCTCAATTTGTAAAAATTTTCACAAAATAGGGAGAAATCCTCAACCTAAAAAATGAAACGGTGCTCTCTTTCTCTTCCCTCTCCTTCTCCAGGCTATTGGTTGCCCAGTTATAAATTAAAGTCTTCCTGGGCCACAGGCCTGCACCTGTCAGTCCTGTTCGGTCATGTGGAATGCCTCCTGGTGCTCTTGGACCACAATGCCACAATCAACTGCAGACCCAACGGAAAGACCCCTCTTCATGTGGCGTGTGAAGTGGCCAATGTGGACTGCGTGAAGATCCTGTGTGACCGTGGAGCCAAGCTCAACTGCTATTCTCTGAGTGGACACACAGCTTTGCACTGCTGTACAACACCGAGCTCCATCCTCTGTGCCAAGCAGCTGGTGTGGCGAGGTGAGCCCTTCTGGTTGGCTGACAGCAGCATCCCTGCACTCAGGCTTTTGAGAGTCAGTGAATCCTCCTCACTCAGACTATCTAGTAGGTGTGCCCATGCTTTCAGAAGAGTTCCAGGGCTGTAAGGTACATGAACTTAAAATGTTGGCTTCTTTTGGGAGAGGTCACTCAGTGATGACCACACTGCAAGCTTAACATGTGTCCCCATAGGAAATACACTAACATTCGTTTTCTGAACAGACACTCACTGAGCTTCTTCTATGCATTAGGCAATGTTGTAAGTGAAAAGAAGGAATAGTTTCCTCTCTCATAAAATCAATAGTCCAGTAGGGGATAGGAATGTTAATCAAATTAATTCATAAATACTGCATATAATTAAAAGTGGGGGAAAGTGTGATGGAGGAGAAATAAGGAGTTACAAAGGAGAGAGTTAGAAGTGAACAATGATAAAGTAAGGATTTCTCTAAGTAAGACCTTAGGAATAAGAAAGTGCTAGTGTTTCAAAAAAGGAGTCATGAGCAAATGGAATGGAGATCTATGGGACAGCACAAACCAAGTGTTTGTTAGGAGAGTGAAAGACCTGGAGTTTTAAATGAATGTCCTGAGTATGGGAGATGTGGAAGGCCAGAGGACAAATGGGAGAGGGGAGAGCTCCGAGATGACATCGGGTAAGTTGGGCAACAGAGCCCTCTGCAGGCGGAGGTGCAAGGTCCCAAAAAGCAGACGCTTAACTGTCCTGAGCAAGACATGGTGTGCTTTAATCTCTACTTGAAATTCTCATACTGGAATTATGCAGGGATGGGTCCACGGGGCAAGAACAGAAGCAGGCAGACCAAGAAGGGAAACGACTGGGTGTGATGTGAAGGGGACAGTGGCCCATGCTAGGTGGTGACCCTGGGTGAAAAGATTAGGGGACTAAGGGACGGCTTTGCACTCAATTCTGGAAGTGGCATGGAGGGATTTAGAGACAGATTAGAGTTGGGGTGGGGGTGAAGGGGAAGGAAATTCCAGGGTGTCTGGTTTCAGAAAACAGGCAGACAGCAATGCTAGAAGAGATGGAGAGACTTGAGGAAGAAAACACATATAAGGGGTGAATGCTAAACTAGAGTTTTGAAGGGTTAATAGAGTATAATTTACATGCAGTAAGATTCAGGATAAAATTCACCATGTTTGAGGAACATTCTTTTCATAAAACTATTACCAAAATTATCTTAAAAAAGTTATTTGGTGCCCTTCATATTATTTCTTCTCCCTGTCCCACCCAATCACTGATCTTTTTTCTGTCCCTAAAATTTTGCTTTTTCCATAATGTCATATTAATTAAATTAAGTGTGTGGCCTTCCACTTGTCATAATTATGGGAGAGTCATCCATATGCTTGTATGGACCGGTAAATCAGAGCTTTTCATTGCTGAACAGTATTGCATGCTTTATACTGCATGCAATTGATTCACTTTCCAGTAGAGAGGCTTGAAATATTCCTGGTTCTTGCCAATTTTGAAAAGACAGTGATATCAACTTTTACACATGAAGTCTGATGTTTCCATATTTTCATTTCATTTGGATGAATACTTAGAAATGAAATGATGGATTCTTTGGTAAATTTATAAGAAATGACCACCTTACTTTCCAGAATGGTAGTATCGTTTTATATTTCTATCAGCAATGTGTGACTCTTCCAACTGCTTCTTGTCCTTGCCAAAGCCAGACATTGTGAGATTTTAAAAATATTCTCTAGCTGTCCTATTAAGTACATACTGGAATCTCATTGTGGCTTTAACTTACATTTCCCTAATGACTAAGAGTGTTGGATCCGTTTTCATATATTTATTTGTCAGATGTATATTCACTTTGATAAAATATCTGCTCATATCATTTGCTTCTTTAAAAAAAGCAACGTGTTGCTTGCTTTGATAGTATTGATTTGAGAGTCTCTGCATATTCTGGATACTAGTATTTATTACACTTATAGTTCACACATATTTTTATTCATTCTTTGCCTTTTTGGGGGGGGGGTCTTTTTCATTTTTATCGGTACCAGGGATCGAACTCACAACTGCCTGCTTTCAAGGCAGGCGCTTATGCTGCTGAGCTAAATCCCCAGCCTCTATTCTTTGCCTTTTTTTCCCATTCCACTCACAGTTTCCTTCAAAGAGCAGTATTTTACATTGATAAATTTAATTTGTCTAAATTTTTATGGTTTGTGTTTTTTTTTGTCCTATCTAAAATACCTTTGACTACATTGACAACATTTTCTACTATGTGTTCTTCTAGAAGTTTTATCATTTTAGGTTTTACTTTGGGGACAAGAATTCATTTTGAGCTAATTTTTTGTATCTAATGTAAGGTGGGAATTACAGTTTAGACTTTTTTAAAAAAAATATGAATGCCTAATTGTTCCAGCATCATATGTCACTAAATTTCCTTGGTATCTTTATCAAAGACCAATTGGCCTCATATATATATATATATATAGTTTTTATTCTGCATGTCTTTTTTATATATCTTTTATTTTATTCTATGTATTCTATATATTTTATATATGTTCTCTCTATGTATTGTATGTATAATATATACATATATTATATATATATTATATATTATGCTATACATCTATTTTCTTTTATTCTATGTATCTAGTTTTTATTCATTTATTTATTTTGCTTGTGCTTCATTAACCTGACTGCTGCCACTTTGTACCAAGTCAGGTAGAGTAAGCCCTGCTATTTTGGTTTTAAACAGGAGACTTTTCAGGCTCTTTGAGCTGTCAAAACAATTAAGTCAAGAATACTTTTGATATAAAAGTGTGGGTTTCATGGAGCCGGATGTAGCTCAGTGGAGGAGTGCTTGCTTAGACCATAGAGGACCCTGGGTTCAATTCCAGAGCCAAAAAAGAAAAAAAAATGTATCTCAAAAGAAAGCTTTGTACTAAAACTACAATTTTTAGAATTGTTGACCTATAGATTGCATTCAAACTCAAGGACCTCATTAAAATCACCTGGAAAAAGTATCTAGAGAAAAAAAAAAAATAGAAGGCCAGGGAATTCTAACATTTAGGCTCTAGAAGGATGAAAAGGTCAGTAAAGGATAGTGAGATGGCCTATTCTGAGGAATTGAAAAAACCAAAACTGGGTTAAGTAGCAAGGGTAATTAACTACGTGGACAGCTGTCAAGGTTTAATGAGATGTTCCTTCAGTTAGGTAGCAGTCATCACTAGCAAAAAGAGTTGAGTGAAGAAATGTAGCAGCCAGATTTTTGTGAAGTGTGAGTAGGTGACTAGAAATGAGAAGCGGCATATGTGTGCAGTTGTTAGCGGTTTGGCTGCAAAACAGCTTAAGGACAGCATCATCGTTGCAGGAGGCTGGGGGACGTCATGGGAGAGCAATGTTGCAGATGAACAGAGAAACACATGTGCCCAGGGAAATGATGCAGTGGAAGAAAGCAATTGACCGTACATGTGATAGGGTTACTGAAAGATTCTAAATCTTCAGAAAGGTAGGATGGAATGAAATCTAGGAACCAGTGGACACACTTTTATTCCTAACAAGTGGACCAAAACAAAAGTTGGTTTTTAATGCCAGAACATTTATAGATTCAGTGATGTTAAAATGAGAGAGTTCATGCTGGGCATGGAGGTACAGACTTGTAATCTCAGCACTGTGGAAGCTGAGGCAGGAGAGTCACCATGAGTTTGAGACCAACCTGGACCACACAATGAGTTCAAGACCAGCCTGAATTATGAAGCAAAACCCTGCTCAAAAACAACCATCAAACCATATGCCCCTGCCAAAAAAGGGTCATATGTGACTAAGGCCAATTAATCATATCTGAGGCAAAGTCATCAGCCAAAAAGGCAAGGAAAACAGAATGTATGGACATTTGATGTGGCTGGGGAAGGACCAAAAGGTCTTAGGAGGAACAGATTTACTTAAGAATTGTGGCCAAGTACTGGGCTCCTAAAAATGTATTTTTGTCTCCTCAGCCTATGGGACTGGAGGGAAAGAGTAAGCCTAGCTTGCTTGCTTTCTTTTTCTCTCTTTCTTTCTTTCTTTCTTTCTTTCTTTCTTTCTTTCTTTCTTTCTTTCTTTCTTTCTTTCTTTCTCTCTCTCTCTCTCTCTCTTTCTTTCTTTTTTCCTTCCTTCCTTCCTTCCTTCCTTCCTTCCTTCCTTCCTTCCTTCCTTCCTTCGTTTCTTTGTCTCTTTCTTTCATCTGTCTGTCTTTCTAATACATGTTTGCATTACGTAGTGATTACGTTTACGTGAGGAGTTGGTGCATCTATGTAACAAATCTTAATTCTTTTTTCCCATCCCCGGTCCCACTTCTCCCTCCTTCTCCTCCATCCCTTTCCCATTTGCAAAAGTTCTGTTTTTCATTTTCTTTCTTTTTATTGATTTTCTTTGAGCCCCTGGACAGAGGGCCCTGATGAAAGACACAGAACAGGGGGGCATCAGCCAGTGTTCATCCACCTTTCTAGGTGTGGCCCCCTCCTCTGTTCATACTTACTAATTGCTTAGATTTAGATTTAGTTTTTATGTTTATGAATATTTTCAATATTCTAAGCTATAAAGATATTTGTTCATTTTTACAAGTTTGAAAAATTATGTTTTTTTAAATAACTTATTTTAAATGTTTTACTTTTGGGGGTAAGAATATTAAGGATTTGCTACTCAGCAGGGTAGTATTGATTCTGGTCACTATGTTGTACATGGGCTCTCATGGACTCAGTCACTGTGCTTTACTGAAATTGTATTAACTCTTTTTGCTCCCGCCTGTTCCTGTGACTTCCCACAGCACAAACTGACTGAGAGGGAACAGTCCTTTCCTTCCTCAGAGCCGCCACCTTTCCAGCAGGCACGCTATGCCCATCTCTTTGGAGCTGACCAGAGCCCTGGGCAGTGCTCCCTGCACCGATGAAGGACACTCATGCCAGTCAGGCCCACCAGAGACTCGCATGCCACAGGCTGAAAGGTTGAATCTATGAAGGAAAGAAAAAAAATTGGA